TGATGATGATGATGATGACCTGACCTCTCCACGCTGCCACAGTTGTCTGCTGTCTTGACGATCATTGTTGTTGTCACGCTTACGTTCGATACCCTGGGAAACAAGCACACTACGCACCCAGTAGCGGGATCTCCCCAACAAAGCACACCTGTAAACATTTGTCCACTACAAGGATGACAGTTATTGTCTCCAACTTCTGTTGTCACCGCAGGTAAAACTGCTGACAGAGTCCGTGCAGACCACAGCTTGTGGCGATCCTGGCCCATGACTGCTCAGCTCACTGTATTGGCAAACAGTCCATCGTGAGGTCAAAGGAAAATTCAAGCACATCTGATCTGACTGCCAACATCTAGTCTCATTACAGACGCACCTTAACTCAACGCACAGGTGTCTTACTTTTATCCAAGAGAAAATAATACATTGTTTGGTTCAACCTCGCGAATGTGAACTTCGATTTTCGGGTAGATGCACACAATGCAGAACTCATTCAGAACGATCACTTCTATCAACCATGTGGTCAGAACACAATAGTAATGAGCAGTGTTTTTAATAAAATTTCCTCAGGCAAGTACAAGGAGGTCAAGGAGGTAGTAGATGAGATGGTATTTGGTGAAAATCATAATTAACCGCTCCTCTAGTGAGTCCTTGAGTTTCTGAGATGTCATGGATTGGTCAAGATAAAGTCAATGCCTTTATTTGCCTGTTTGAGTGACAGCGGTGGCTGACGCAGCCTGACTGCTTCGAGTGCGTTTTTGTGAATGCCCTTCAAGTGAATGAAAGTCTTTCAGAAAATCATGCAGAGCAATTGAATCGGTTTGATTTGGTGGATGGTATCGACCAGATGCCCCAAGATGGGTGATTTTGAACTACGGGGTAACAGCAGTGTGCATTGTCTCCCTTGTGGCTTTCTGAACAATTTCGCACATCCAGGGGAATTATGCCTAACTCACCGTACATTCAACGGAGAAGCCACAAATTCATATTCGACATTCTGTTAACAGAATCTGAGCGTTTCCGATTTCCCCAATGTTTGTTTCTGTCGTCACCTCATTTATGCCATTTCATTAGTTCGAAATTCTGTGCTGGAACCGAATTATGCAGGTGGCATCCCAAGGTCGCAGACGCACCATCTTCGGCTGGTGCGTCATCCTTTAGTAGCCAGTAGACCATCACTCCTTTTGAATTAGTTGATGGTGATGACCATCCACGGAGTTGGAGGTGAGCCGTTAGGCTTCCGTAGATAATTGAATGAGTTCGGGACAAGAATGGGAACGTAAATTAACGTTTTCGTAGCTAATCCGTCTGGGTACGGAACCGCGACTTTATACAAAAGCATCCAGTCTAGTGAAGCGGACGTCGATGTGCTGCTCATCTGCTCAGGTAATTTAAATCTCGAAGTTAAAAAGCTTTACATATTTTCCGCTGAACGCCCTATTGAGTTTTGAGTAAAGGACTTTATTATCCCGTACTTTGCAATCTTGTTTTTGCACGTAGTTCGAACTATCCCCTCACGCCGTCGCATACGAAATCAGTCTTGTGTTCAGTAAGCAACCTCATTGGGTGTGCTTGGGTCACTACAAGTAGATAGAAGCGAACAGAAGTGGCATGTCAGCTCTTCGCCTTGATTTGGGGTTGACCAGGTTCAGATAGCATTCCTTATTGAGCCCATGGCGCACACAGTACAGTCGTTCGGCAAACCAATCGCTTGTTTTAACACGTCGGCGGGATCTGACGAAACTGTTACAAGTATCCACGTTGGAGGTCACATGAACAAATAAGTTCCTGTGCCCACTGTTGAGGCGAAGCCGGCAAGCACAAACCACTTGTTACGTCTTGCCGTTCATTGACGTGACCTCGTTCGCATGTATATCGCGTGAAGTCTGCTAACAGGGCATACTTAGTTGTACGTGGTTGAACAGTCCCCCCTCTATTCTGGCACAACTATTCATATTAGTCCACGCTGTGTGTGTGGAGGAGGAGAAAGAGGTAGATATGAACGTGAACGTGGGATACGTCTTCTAATAATGAGTCCACGTGTTTGTTCGCTTGTGCGTACTTGCCAGCTATCCAGGTGTGAGGCCTTATTGTGAAACGAAAACGGACTGGCGGATCAGGAATTTGCTGCAATCACTCCATCAGGTAATCGACAAATCGGTTTAGATGTGGAGAGGTTTACATACGACTCACTTATTGCGTGTTCGTGCTGCATCTTCCATTTTTTGATGTCCGATTTCGTTTCCCATCATGTTACCACCCACTGAGTCTTCGGATTGAGGTGTCTGTGTATTTGTTCGACCGCTTTCGACATTCTGCACCTGCTGAGTTGTATGTACTTCGAGACCACGTCGTGATGCATGTTGGCGACAGAACTCCTAAACCATTTTTTTCCGCTCCCACGTTCCTTCGTGTATGTTCTTGGCTATGTCATTTCCCTCGGGATTGGCCAAAACATCCGTCTGCTCCTTTTGTAGCGACCCGTTCACCTGACTGTGGTCCTACCGCAGTCGTTTTTGTATTCCTCCCCTTGGATGTTGCCGTACCCTGTTTCCCGCACAGACCGAACGTCTTTCTGGTCCCTGGTTTACCTTGAAACTCGTGCCGCTTTAATCCAATAAGTGGACTCGTCCGTTTCTTGGGAAATTTCTGGCGGGTGACCTCTGTTCTGTTGTTATCTTCGATCCGCACCAAATAATCGGCTTTGTACGCCATCCGAGCCATTGTGTTGTTAGATGCACCGTACAGCCTCTTGTTAGCTTATCTGTTTTCTCCACACTGGCTGTACTTTCCAATCATCTGCCCCCTGTCTTGGTAATGCAAAAAAGGCAAAAAAGATTTACACAACCAAGTATAGAACGTAACCGACTGGACACCGTAAATATGTGACCCACACAAACGGCGTGCTTCATCCCACGTAGGCGCAACGGCGTGTAGATTATCGGTAGCCCAAATCATTCGTACCTAATGGTAAACCCGTCACTGCACAGGTGACGGTGCCTGAATCAAAAGCGAGCCTGCAGAATTCACAGTGGACGTATTAAGCCAAACGTGATTTATGGTGGTCTCTGCCGATGTTGGAACTGTAGGCAATAACCTCTGGTTGAACATGTGGCTTCGACTTCCGCTGGGTGTAGCTGCCTCATCTCTCACATTGAAAGTCATTTACTCTCTTCTGGAATACGGTATCTGTCTGGATCGCACTTGCCCTAGCGACAAGCAGTAAACTAGACTTTCTGCTAAAATCTCCTGACCTCAGACATACGTGGTTGTATTTTTTGGGATGTGAGACTTATACGTTTGATTTGAACACTCAACCCTTTAGGTTCGTGCGCGGGAGAATGAGCGGCGGTTGCTCACTATGCTTGCTATGAACACGATACCCGAATCCCGTCGGGCGATCTATGCCCGATTACCCAGTATGATCACCCAAGTGTGGACTGTCATGCGACCTTTCAACGGACGTCCTGTTCCAATGACTACGGTGGCTTCTCGCGTTGCCGACGCGCATCCGAGTGGATTATCTGCTGGTAAGTTATAGGAGTTATTTCATATTTTCCACATGTCTGCATCCGACCGAAATGAGTACAGGGATTGAAATCATTTGCAAACTAATTTGGTGTTAACTGGACATTCAAGTGAATTCTATCTGGAATTCAATTGCGCCTCTCGTAAACGACAAATTAATTTTTTAAACGAGTGCAGTTCGCTAACTGCGCACATTTTAATGTTCAAGCAGGATAGGGAATTACGAAGACTGCGCATACCTGGTAACCTCCAGTCGTGAGTTGTCGAAGATTTTCCAGTAACCTCGTGAGTGGTGTATTCCGTCAAGAAGTAGCGCAGGAATTGTTTTACCGTATCGAACTTGTTTTTGAACCCTGGGACGGATTACCCTCTTACGCTAGTTTCCGGTTAGTCACAAAGAGAGATGAAAGCGGACTTTCTCTCCCCTCCATAGGATTTACCGCAGAGGGTGTCAGAGGTCAGAAGATATGTCTTTTCGCCGTCCTACCGTTATGAAGCTGACGTTTGTAGGGCTCGGCGTATTTGTTGCCTTCAGTGAGCAATAAAGCGCGTACAGTCCGTAAGCACGTAATATGACTGTCAACCGATCGAGTAAGTACGATGTGACAGAGTAATGAAGCACATCCGTTGGTATTTGACTAAGATTTCTCATTTCCGATTACTCAGCTTTGGGTGTGTAGCGATTAGGCGCCAGTCATGACTCATGAATGTAATTTGACACCAGAGGCCTGTGATCTGAATGCTCTTGAAAACCTTTTGGAGTGGCCTTGGTTGCTAGGCGAAACGCGTTTTTATTGTTGTGTTTTTCTGCATATAAACTCCACCCCATTAGCATACAATACATGTTTTCGGCTCCAAGGTTCTAAGCCTACACACGTCTAGTTGACCGATTCGTTCAGTGGACTGCATACAACGGTGATGTCAGCGTTCCTGATGACGAAGTCAATCACCTACCGATTATTGTGATCTTCAACCTCCCACCCCTCCGAGATTGGGAGAATCCTGGAACTAATTCGTACCACTGGACCCCAGTACGAAGAATTCGCCAGGATTCCTCACAGACTTGACTCGCCTTTGTTCAAAAGATAGACATTCAGTCTATCAGTTTTTCTTCGGGTCACAGTCGCACCCAACAGAGGCTGGAACATAGGTTTCAATGTTTTCCTTCAGTAACTAACCTTTCGCCTACAGTTTATTGCAGCGCTAACTAATCCCAGTCTCTTCACAGAAACTGTGTTTACCTTGGCGTTCTACTTCATGTCTGCGCCCGTCGAATTAGTTTCTCCTAGAACAAAACCACGGAGCGTAAGAACTCGCCATGAGAGAACTTTTATTTTTGGAGAAGCTCACCTCGTGAACTCTTGAATAAGCAGAACACTCTGATCAATAGGAGGGGGTTCCAAAGCTGTAAGAAACAGTAAAAATATTAAGACGTAATCGTCAGATTCATTGTAAATGCAGCGCAACAAACTGTCTGACTGAGACGATTTAAGACATTTTATCAATGAACTCCAGCGATGTTTCACAATTATCGTGATAGTATTTTGTTCACTGTTTTCAGTCGCCGATTTGGGAAAATTTCAAGTTTTTATAGCTTGGTGAAAAGCAACACAAGTTAAACGGACATTCATTGGTTGTATACAGAAGGCTCAAAACCACCCTCGGTCTTGCTGCGAAACGTGAATCTTAAACTGTTAGCAAACGTTGTCATCAAATGGAATTGAACCTATCAAGTGGTACCACACGTGCATAGGATTTCAACTCGAAGTTTATGATGGAAACGGTACTAATCATGTGGCCAATCCTAAACAGACAGCTAGTTTCGATTTAACTACTGGCGGTTTTTACCCTTAAATGTGTTTTACCTCCGTGACTAAAGATGGTGACGATAAAATATCTTCACATATGTCTTTGAATTGGCAAGATAACTGGCGTGCGTCGCTCCTAGGTCTGTGTCCTCAGTGTCTCTTCTGTACTATTGCAGCAGTGTGCTGATTGGGTTCCACTACGGGTGCACCAAAATCCAAGATGACACACGGTCTTCTGGGCTGTCAGCCAGACGGCATGATATTGCACCGGTGAGGTCCCAAGTCCAATCACGGCAGGCATGGTGGCAACAGGATTACCAGTGAATGTAATACCAATATCTTCAGGAGTGGTTTGGTTCACTGAGGCTTACAGCACCGGTTTTGTTGTTGATGTCCAGGAATCGGTCCTTGACAGACATTTCCTGGTCAAACTGTGGTGACCGAAATCACTTTCCTCCAAAGCTGTTCACTTCTTTCTATACCCTGAGCTTTGATGATTCACTGATCCTGTACTTGTTATTTCTGAATGGACGTACTGAACGATTCGACCCGAATTGGGCAAGTAACCGCTATCTGAGTTGTTGGGTGGTTCCCTGATGGGGTATGAGTTTCAGCAACTTGCATCTCATTTCATTGGCTTGTTCCTCGCAAAAGTTTTCGTTCTCTTTGGTTTGTTTGCCGTGCCAGGTAATTTTGTTGTGAACGTTTCACCATTAATCGAGGTGACACCATTTTTGAGTCAATGGTTGCGAACGGATATGCAGTGATTATGTTGCCTCAATTAGTGACGAGACGTTTGCAACCAGGTCGATTAGGCCAGCAAACGAACCGGCGACTACCCGTACTAAATGAGCTACCGGCAAGCGTTTGACCTCATAGAGCTGATATTCGTACCCACTGCCATCAATCTAAGCAGCCTACTTTCGCAACTTTTGCACAGTCTGGTTTCCAAGACTAAGTGAGTCGTTGCGTCCAGTCTATAACCTAGAAACGATATGTGTACCCGCTCGTTTTGGCCGTGTTGGTAACCGCCGTCTGCCTACACGGGAACCCTGAGCTCTTGCGAATCAAGGTTATGATCTTCAGTTCTTATCTGCCTAAATGTGAACCTTCACTGTACTACTGCTCTCATGCATATCGGAACCAAAGTATTCTTAGCATCTTACTGAGTTAGACCGAGCCCTGATAGCTTTTCTGGTAAGCTAATCTAACAAGTGGTTCTAGGATCTTGTTTCGTGAATTGGTACCTAATGATTTGTGTGTTTATGTGTTCTAGATGCAGTTAATGAACACCTGAAGGTCCTTCTCGAGGTATGTCCAACATGGCTGCAAAAAGTGAACTGGTCCGTTCCACACCTGTGTATGTCGGATCCGAGTCGAAGTGTAAAAGATGTCATCGATTGGGTGAAGATTAAGTTGGCAGATGAGGGATTCCAGTTTTAGCCGACTTCCTCAACGAACTGTGCCCCTTTTCTGACCCCAATTTTTTCGTGATCTCTGTATTTGTGTTCCCTATTTCCTATCTATCGGTTGCCAGATGTGAGTAATGTCGTGTACTTTTTTCTCAAGCCCTTCCCCTCTGCAGCTGCTTCATGTGTTTGTATCTCCAATTATTTGCGTACACGAGCATTTTTTGGCGTACACAAATTGCTGCTATGCGTATTTTGTGATTGTGTCCATTAAATCACCATTTTTCTCGTTCCTTTCGCTCTGAGGAGATTGACAGGATGCCTAACTCGATTCGCATACATTCAGAAGGGTTTCTATGCCTGCCTGAGGGTCATGATTTTCAATACAGCCGCAGATTGCCTCACTTCGATCGAGCGAAAAATCGGTTGCGTGGAAATTCGACTTCAGCGTCACGGTTTACTTGATTGTAAGCGAACCCCCTTTTTGTGCGACTGAGTTTCCCTGCAAACCTAACATGCAGCTTGTGAGCTCAGATTAACTTTGTACTACACTACGCACTTCACACTGGTTCGCAATATAGATAGTCACCCCACCAGTGTCAAGAGGCAACTTGCTTTCATCTCGGATATTCGAATCTATTGAAGCAAACCGATTTCAGTCGTTTCTCTATATAGGCAGTCTTCTTTTCTCCTAACCTTGGTTTCGTTGTTTTCCAAAGTAAGGTGTAAATGCAGTCAATGCGACGCACAGCTCAACTTGGAACTTTTCGTCTGTCCACAATAATAATACTTCAGTCAGTGGCAGTGAGAAAAAGTTGCCTTCAGCGACGCGAAATATCAGTAGCATCGTAAGGGTCATTCATTACCTTGCTTGCCCTACAATGGCAATACCAACCTTATGCATGCGTGCGGACATTTGTCCGTTCATCTCAGTCGGTTCCACCTGCTACAGTTTAGATCACCAGAAAATGGGAGAAGAGGGGATTTACAACCAAGCATTGGAAGCAATGACAATCTGTTTGTTTGTATTGAATCGGTCACTTGTTTGAGGAAAGGAGAAACTGGATAGCTACTTACTGATATAGGTTGGCCAATAACTGGGTCACCGAGTCATGCCTTTCAGCGCCACTCCTTCAGACGTCCCACGTTGGTCGTTTTTCTGTGTTTGAGAGCTGCTTTTGATTCTGTCGATCGCCAGCTACTCTGAGAGTGTCTGTCAATCAGAGGTGTATCTTCCAAATTTCTATCCCTTAAGAGGGCACCGTATGCGGGCGCGTACGAGTATACGGGAGGCTCCCGCCTGAGTTTGCCACTTCCAGTGGTGTAGGGCAGGGTTTTCCTGTTTCCCCTTGAAATATTTCTGCCTGCCTCTGAAACCTCGAGTGGGCAACTGCTGCCTCCCTGGATGGAGACCCCGGGATTCAAATCACTAATGGTTAAGGACGTTGGCAGAAACGGTCCCATCGCGCAGTGCATCAAAGCTATCGCCTTCAATGCGTAGCTACCCAAATTCCGAGCAAACTGAAAATGCTTTCTCCTTTTATGCCCCAAACTCCCACCTTCTGGTGGTCGAAAGTGTAGTAGCTGCAACCAACGTACCTATGGTACACGATTGATGGCTGATGAATTGATCAATTCAGTATGCAAGTATTAACCAGCAAACTCAGTCGGGTTGAGAGTTGCCGCTTATTCGGATAAGGAGTCATGGAGTCCACTCGTCCCTTTCTGTATTCATCGTGCTTAAATTTCGACATGCCCGCGAAATTTCGACCTATGATCACGGGTACATGATTGCTCTGCTCAGTGAGTTGGATCCGCTTTTCGTTTTGTGGAAGGCTCAACAACCGTCGGTGACCCTATTCAAGATAGCTTTAAGACCACCAAACTTATTAGAAACGTCTCCGGAAAAGTGGAGAACAGTCTTGTACTGCGTGCATCGAAACGTTGTCTACCAAAGCATGTGCTACTCTCCGTGCATCCTTCAGAATTGCTCAAGTTGTGAGGCGGACAGCGTATGACTTGGTAGAAGGATATGAAAGAGGTTACGAAGAGTTTATGCGTAGCGGTTTTTCTTCCAGGACAGTGTCCCTTGTGAGTGGTCCTCTGAATATACTGTCGGATTCGGAGAGTCAACTTGACCTCGATAAGCTCTGCCTGAAGTCATCAACATTGCATGAACTTGGTAGTGTGAGGAGATTTGGGATTTTTGTGGAGATTTCGTTCTCTGAGTCAAGCCAATCTATGCTGAAAAGTCGAGAAGCACTGTACAGCTGTTCCATCCTTACTGGGACCGCATGATGTGGATTCCGTGATTGAAGGATGAGCGGCGCTTTATCCTGTCTAGGTGCGAGTTAATCACACTGCTGATCAGCCACTCATGGCCGAACGGTTAAGTGTGCAAACTACTATCCAGGAGGTCGCAGGTTCGAGACTCTTCGGAGTTTCGTGGGATGCGCACTGCTGATGATTCCCAATGAGGATGAAACAGCTGTACAGTGCTCCTCGGCTTTTCATCATAGATTGGCTTCACTCACGGGACGAAATCTCCACTTTTGTTAATCCTGTACCGAGTCCCTCCCTCACCGACTCTTTTGTTTTTAGCTTAAGTAATTGAAGTTAATGACCTTACTGCAGTGACTTGTCAGTGTCAACAGTGGTGTTGCTGTCTCCGGCGGTAACCTTGTAAACTTCGCAGTGCTTGCGCTGCCTACATGTTATCTTTGTCAAGTCAATGAACCGAAAGAATTGTGCGTCAGTGGAATGGCGAACCTTAGTGTCGTAGAGGCGGCCAGAAAAGCATGAAACACGTACGTTACTCAGTCCCCGCAGTGAAGTATTCAAACTGATGAAAAGAAATCATCTGAGGTTGGGATTTGCTGGACTGGATGATTAGCGTCGAATTCGATAGATTGGATTTTGCCGGCATTATGGAGATGGCGAAAGCGGAGGACTTTTGATCGCAAAATATCCAAATACCGCATGCAAATTATGAAGAGATATTATCCAACCGCATATGAGTGTACCATATGCAAACAAAGCTGACGGTGAATTAATAGCAGTTTTCGGATCTAATGAACAATCCAGTGTTTCCCCCGGCCTGGTAGCGTTCGTTGAAGTCTTCGAAAATTCGGTTAATGATGAATAGTAAATATCGTAGTTTTTCATCATTCTTATGGAGCACTTGACGATGACTGAATCGTTTGTCCGTGTAATTTACAGCTGATACTTATAGACCCGAAGTGATTGGTCATCGGACCGTTCAAAACCAGCTGCATCTGTTGATACTGCTTCTATCATTTTCCCCCGTCATATTTCCCTAAGTCTGTTAGTTTGTCTCGACTCGATGGATGAACACCTTGTAGGTGCATATCCTTGGTACAGCCACGTTCATGTTGCTCGCTGACTTCACCACACCATCGGTTTGGCTCCCGTACTATCCAACAATCTAACAACCCTCGTTCGTTGCAAATGAGTATATATTCGCTACTTTTGTGCAGTTTGGTTTCAAGTAAAACATAGGGTTGACGGAAACCCGGGGACTGCGCCTACCTGGTGAGTCCCAAAAAGCGCGAAACCGGTCATGGGATGTCGGCCGGTTTTCAGCAACCTTATGAGTAGTGGATTACAAATATATACACGTATCGCGATATCTTGAATATCGTAGCGACTGAAAAATGAGGCGACCTGGTGCAGCACATTCAGTTGCCTGGAAACATCACAACCGAGACTCAGCTGGGTTCCAGGTGAGTCTCGAAAAACCAAATTCGTTTGCTACCCTCGTTCTCTCTTTGATCAATTAGGGGTCGTTCTTTTCGCTGAGGATTCTTCTTCAGCTTTATCCGATAACTAACTTTATTTCACTACAAATAGAGTTTAAAAGTCTTCCGTCACCTTCGTGTAAGACGATACTTTTAAAGTGGTCCGCTTTAAGATGATCATTCTGAAATGAATCTTCAAAGAATATGCTGTTAAACTATGCCGGGTGAGTCCAAAACCTCAACACCCGTGAAAGTTGTCACGCACAGCACTGGTAGATCTTGTGTGTCGTGGGAGTACGTCTCAACTCTGATGCTTGTAATTCTGCAGTCTCGAAACGGTTGTCCCATGTTTGTTCAATGTTACCCTGAGTCAGTGATCATTCGCTCGTATATCAAAATCTACTCCTGGGGTTGAGGACCGGGTTGAATTTGCACTAATAACCTAAGATTGGACTTTTTTATTATGGTTATCTTCGTGGTTGTCCATCCAGAGCGTTGTCCGGTTGGGGTAGATACTATTGCGAGATATTATACGTTTCAGAAGGGCTTGGTAGACAATCGGTAGTTTTTCTTTGGACAATGTTAGGCTTTTGACACGACTTCATCAAGCCAAGTGTTGTAGCTTGGTGTACGGTAGTGCAACTCTGTATCAGTCCCTTGGCTTCCTGCTTCACCCACTATGGTATATCAAAAGGCACGGTAGCTCTACGCAGCCCTTTATGGAGACAAAGGAAAATCAGTACAACTGTAGTTATAGGGTAGTCACGGTGTGTTCCACAAGGTCGTGCCAGAATGTCCGTGAGGGGGCGAGAAGCGTCGAGTCAAAGGTGCTTGACTCGGATTGGCTGGCATTCTGACCAATCAGGGCATGCCTTCGTCTGACCCATGTCCTGCACGTGACACATCCGTCTAAATGATGTTCGGTTATTAGGGACGGCTGGCCCTCGAACACCAAGTGAACAAACAGGTCACCACGTTGGCTAGGTTTTAAGGCAGACGGAGATTAGCACACTAGAGCACTATTGAGCGTCAACTAACGGCTCTTGTCAGCTATTCTGTTTGCCAAAATCCTGAACTGATGGGTTGGAGGAGTTTCAAATTAATTCCAGTCCGCTCTTGTTACTTAATCTTCCACTTCAGGGTGCTTCAACGGATGGTTCGTCGCGGTTGGGCTATTTCATTTAGGAGTTTGGCGACCTTCCTATATTCAGGCAGCAATGCTGTCGTTGTCGCATCGTTGTACAAATAAAATCATCCGAGAAATCCATCCATTCATCTCACGGTCAACCGACTTTGGCGGAGCTGGAGTGGTGTATAACTGTGAAATTTATTCAACCGACCTGTTTCCTAAATTATCTGAAGTCGTGGAGGAACGAAGTGTTTGTTCCAGTTGAGGGCTGTGAATGTTGTACCATTGTTTAAACATGCCCTCGTAAAACACGAGATCGAATGCGATGTGCCAAAAAATAACATTTGTGCTGGTGTGGTGCATTGTTTCATGTTTTTACGACAATAGATGTACAAACGTTCTCGAAGTGACGCAACACACGAATGACAGAATGCATAAAGTACCAGCAACGAATTTTTTTCGTATGTCATCAGCGAAACCAACTATTTCATATGTTGGCCTTGATTGTAGACCGCTTTTGTTTCAACAAGGCTTTCGTGAATTCAGGGTGAAAAAGCTCCAACTTTTGAGAAACATCCAGCGTTAACCGAAGATGCGCATTTCCAGCTCCTCATTGAGCCATGGGTTTCCCGTGTCGTTCGACCAAGCACTCAGTAGGTGTTATTTAACATGCATTTCAAACTACTCTTTCGGTAACTAGTAGCACGTGCACACTCAACTCCGGCCCAGTCACGGGGTATGTCTCACACGGGTCCCAGCCGGCGACAGCCTCTCTTCATCAAAATTCCAAGTCTTCCAGAAATATATGGCACGCAAAAACAACAAAAAAACAGCTGTGTTTGCTTTGGATGTGGGTGCAACCACTGAATTTATGAATGACCATTCGTTCGAGCAGATGTCACCTCGATAACTGCTCACATGGATCGTGCGCTCTGTCACCGTTACCTCCTTGGCCATGATGACAAGTTCAGTTCGATCCCCAGTCATGCTATTCAGACATCCCAAAATGGCGCCGAGATACGTTTTTATGGTTTGGAGGCAAGTTGAATAGGAAAAGTTGTAGTATAACACTAATTAGAAACATCCTTTCTTAATCTCAGGCCAAACCAGATGTAGGGATCGACCGAGAGTTCTGTTTTTTTAGTGTGGTTCAGTGGATTTCATGAACAGTGACTCCTCGATTGGTTGCGCGCATTTCCCAACCTTGAATTCGAAAATGTCAGGAGGATATGTTTGTTTGGCGAGATTAGATAGACAGTGGAAGAAACTTATTCGATATGTTTTTTTGGAATACGACACCATTCTTGTAATTCTGGATGTTACATTAGTGGTATATCCGCAGCTTCTGCCCGAATAGATTTCCCAGTGGCTAAGTCATTCCTCAAACAGAGTACTCACCTAACCACCTTATGTTCAACCAGGATGTCAAATCAACCCACCGATATTCGGTCACCAGTTTTGCCTGGGGAGTTCCGAATGTTCAGCTACGAATACCGCACACTAAAACGAATAGACGGTATCAAAGAGTGAGTATCAATAATGGCTGGGTGAGCATATATATATGTGTATATATAGCGAACCTCAACTGTTCACGGTCGTAGCGTCAACAATGACTGGCACAGTGCAGTGTCAACGTCCGCACTTCAAGCAACAGCGAGCGGAATGTTGGCTCAGTAATGTGGGTTGTGATCTCCCTTTCCGACTACAGTCCCGTGAATCACATTGGCCGTGTGATCATAAGGAACTCACCGGAACACAAGTCAAGATAGGCTCATCTAACGGGACACGAATGGGCATGGGTAAGTGGATCAGCTGCGCACATTCCCACACAGGCAATACGAATACATGAGTGCCGGACGGGACGACCTTTAAGGCGAGGTGAGTGGCCGATGCAGACAAGCGGAACAAAAGAAGGACATAGGTAGAGTACGCAAATGAATTTCAGAATCATCACGAGGTCAAATTGGGTTCAACAGTGTCACGAAATGTCCATTTTTATTCGCAATTCTTTTACCACTAGGGTCGCAGAGTGACAGCTAAGTGTTTTCATAGCCGAATGTGACCGTCTCTGGTTGCCTGCTATGATTTCTTCGCTATAGATGTTGGAAGGTGTGTTCGTTTCCTGATGCGTTGTCCTCCATCTGTGGCGTTTTGTACCTTTATTTTGCTTCCATTATAACACTACGTATTTCATCAATTGCGTAGTCATTTTTTGTTTGAATACGAAAAACTACAAAAAACGCGCACTTGTACGATTTCGCAGAATACAAGCGTGGTCACGTGCTTCGACTCTCTCACCTGATTTCGCTCGCGCTTGCAGCGCCCATTCGCGGGTCTCATGTGCTAACTCTGGTATCGAAACATTCCAGACCATCTTTGGAATATATTATATGTGGGATTGTTGTGGGATTATTGTTTATTCGCTGACCTGGGCCAACGACGAGCTATTTTAAAAAGAACAATTATTAGTGAATCTGTTCCATCTGACATCTTTATTATTGTGTACCCAATCTAACGTTATTATTTTTACTTCTTTGCCACACACTTCTGGTAACTTATTGGGTAGCCAGACCACTACACATCCAAGGTATGTCCTTCTTATTCTTATGCAGAAGGCATCAGCGCCAGTGATTCATACCACTACCCTGTTCTCTGAAAGTGCTGTATGTCTGTTCATGAGTGTTAGGTGAAAGCTTTCGAGGTCACAGACTGCTAGAAGCCGTGGGGATGTATCTAAACGTAAGGCTGTACAAAGAAAACATTCTTCCGCTGAAATTTTTGTAAAAATTATCCGGTATCGAGTCCAACAGCTCGGACACAACTAACTTAGAAGAACCTTGGGAAAAAATTCTTTGCTGTGTCATACCTGACCTGCCCATAAGCCAAAACGGCTCTACGCTAACTGGCAGGGGGACAATACCCAGTTAGTCTTCGAGGGTGGCTAGGTTTATTCGCGGTTGTGCAACCTCAAAATTATTTAATCGCACAACTTTGAGATCACACTGAGGAGTAGAACGCTCCGTGCGTGGTCCCTTAGCATGGAATCGTACGTCGTAGCATCGAAGATAGTTGTATGGGTTACGAATGGACCGTGTGTGTGCTAACGAGTGTTAACTCGTTCTAGTTGACTCCTCCGGTTAAGCGGACTGGTTTACTTGTAGTGTGTCTACTGAAATTCATCACGAGTAGCGTAGACGACTCGACAAATTTAGGATACCTACCCGAAACGAAATCACTACAGCTTGGCCCATATTGCCATCCGTCTGTCAGTATGATGAACTAATGGTTGTGCATTGCGGATAAATTGCTTTTACACTTAAAAGTTCCTGTAAATATTCAGTAGTCAGAAGGAGGTGTAGAAACACAGGATCGAGGGCTTTCAGGAAAATTTGAAAGTTTATGTATGTTATTGATGACTCATTCGAAGGCATTCCATAGCAAATAGGGCTCCGACAAGGCCAAATCAAAATTCGTCACAGTAGACAGTTTCAGGAAAATTTGAAAGTTTATGTATGTCATTGATGACTCATTCGAAGGCATTCCTTAGCAAATAGGGCTCCGACAAGGTCGAATCAAACTTCGTCACAGTAGACAAGTGGCCATAGTAGGGATATAACGATATTAAGAGCGATTATTGCAAACAGGGGCTACGTACGAGAGAACAACACCGTTCATACAACGTCGGATTTGTTTCACAGTACGAACTAATTTGAATAAGGATCTGTTCATTGCCAACCGTTTTTGCAGTAGCGGCCATATTGACACGTCGTCACCTGTTAGTCAGATGTTCAGTGCGATTTATCACGAAGCTAATGAAGAGTAATAGCTGTAAAAAATATGAAAGTTTATCTAATCTTGAATACAAACTTTATCAAAACAAGACATCCACGGAGAAACTCTCTTTGTGAGCGGGGGGAGTGGACGAAGGTTACCGTGAATGTGTGCCTAAAAGGAACGGTATATTGTGTTCCCTCTGGTGAGGTTTAAAAGCGTCTTTTTACTGTGAACGCTCCGAATGTCGAATAATTTTGCGCATCCATGACAAGTTCAAAAGAACCGTGATTGGTGATCCTGTATGCTAAGGCTCTTTCTTCGTCATTCAGGTTACACAGCCCTACCACCAAAAGGCGTAAATTGCAACTTATCATTTCATAACCGGGTATCGGATACCAACCGGATAATCGGGTTTAGTTCCACGCCTTTCTATTCCCTCATCTACTGGCTCACACCAGCTGTCAACAAATGACACGGCCAGATGAACACTACTGGTCGCACGCTGTTCTGCCCACAAGATACGTGTAGTGTAAAGTTGCCATCCCATTCGATAGTCATTCTCTCTGTACTGGTTCACAGAACGGTCTGTCAGCATTGCAGCAGCCTGCACAACATTCCTTCAAACAGATTTGTAGCTGCGTAGCGTATCAGTGAGACAGTGAACTTCTTACCAAAGTCAGCGATCCCTCACTGATGTGGCAGGATACTCGGCTGTTGGTGCGCTACAGGTTGTCTACAGTAACGTGTCATCAATTCACCTGTTTAACCAACGCATGGCACGTCCTTTTTTGGTATTTCTTCGGAAGAGGATCCGCCGTTCAAGGACCAGCAGGATTGTCCTTTTCTGTTCTGCGTGGTTGTCTCATCAAAAAACTATGCCTTTCAAACTGTCTGTCCACTCAATGGATGTGTACACTTCGCGACCTGCCACCTAAAACAGCCTAAGGACGTTATTCTTATTTACGCCTTTGATACCGTCTGCTCTCCACTGCTCTACAAGTTTTATTCCAGCGCCATTTGTCTGCATTGAGATACTGTGCCCCACCTACTTCTAAACGTTTAACTCACTCCGAAAAAAATACTGAGAAGAACTATATTCGTAGCGGATGGAAGGTTGACGGAATGTGTGGCTATTTCAAATTGTCGATTTTTTCGGCATGTGGCGGTGAGTGATCTCGGTTATGGACTCATTGAGCATGCTGTGGCATTGAAGTGCAAACTTATGGGCCACGCAACAAAATTGCTATTCCAATTTCAGCCCGACTTTGTATTGCGTCTCTTCCCAGAGAAGGTCATGCATTACTCATTAGCTTTTTCTACCAATAAAGTGCTCGAATCTTCTAGTTTTCGTGATTATGTATTCGGGTGGACTGATTTACTCAGGATACGTCAAATTGATTTTGAGATAAGAAAATTTAAGTAAATTCGTATTGAGTGAAATGAATGGGGATTGGAGCTAGTGAACATCACTGAGTGCTAGAAAACTGGTAGAAAACTGGACCAACTGGAAATGAACAGTTATCAATCTCACGGTTTGCCAAGAACAACCGTACAAAGCGGGAATAGCCATGGGAAATGGATTCGCGGATCACTCCGGTCGTAAGGATTCCGGAGAGAACGCCATTACATGTTTGGTTGCGTTTTTCAACCGCTTTGATCCGGTCTTTAGCAGTGAGCAACAGAATGTTATTGGTTTGGTATAATTTTCAAAGAGGACGGCTCCACGGCAACAAATCTAAGGACCTATGCATTCCAGCTAGTCGGAGAATTATGATCATTCTCCCCACAGCAAACCAGAGGAAACTTACCTTCAAATCTTTTGACATTCGAGTGGGTTTATCACAACTACTATAGAAATCCATTTTTTAACAATTTATTACATTGGTGGCGAACACTCACCAGCCTGAATCCAATAAAGCAATAAATATGACAAAATATCAATATTGGAGAAAAACAATGAGACTGACTCATGTACAGATGTTCATCCAGCGAGCAGAGTCACTGTTACTGAGTGCGCTCTGCTGACGGAATAAAAATTCCCTGCTGTGGGGAATGCCCTTACCGATATCCAAACATAATAATCTTAACTGGGGCTATTGGGTTTGTGGATCACTGCTTAGAGGTAGTTGATTCACTCCGACATATGTGAGCGGGAGTTGCGGCTCATTTGATCCTACATCGTACAAGTTCAAAATGAGAGCGCAAAGATAATTCGACCTAGTGAGTGAGAATCAATGGGTCCATCAAGGAGGGAATATGGTCGTTGGTTTGTTCGCTGAGCTGGGCACTCTGATTGCACAATCAGAGCGCAGTCAAATAGCCCACCTCAGCGAACAAACCAGCGATCATGCATGCTATATGAGCTACCAGCATTCTCGACTGAGAGAATAAAGTGCTCCAAACAAGACACAGATAGACAGCATCATAACTCGCCAGAACAATCGATGTGCACATTCATACCTAAATGACGTGAGTAGCGTTAACGTTATGATAGTAACTTTATGACGAGTGCGTGATGTGTCTTCATACAAGACCGAAACGTTGATTTGCGTCAGTGAATGTGCAATAAGTGTACAGCTGCCTCATGTAACCTCGTCATATCCATCACGGAAATCCATAAAAATAACTCGTTTCTTTCCAGAGAAACCCTAGTTCATCAGTGCAAAATTTGGGCTTCTACTAGATTACGGTAAACAGATTTTGCCACCCTTGATGTATTTCATTGGATATTCAGATATATTTGCTCCTGTTTGTTCCATCAATTGATAGGTTTTTGGGCGGTATTTGGGGTCCACTAATCCCGAGTTCACCTATAGCTGCTGACTGGGGAAAGCTTTCCAAATTCATACCATGAATGACTGATAGTGTTGCCAGCCTGTAGAGCTCTGGTCTCAGCCGACGTCCTGTATTCATCTTGTCCTGATAAACACAGGGGAGCATGATGTATCTATTTGTAAATGAACGCAGATTTCACCTACGTCGTCAGTGGCCTTGACATATGAACACTGGATAGTGCACAATTTTCTCATCCGACCACGTCAAACCCCTTCGTACAAATGTCATGAACGTTGCATTGGTGGGCAGTTCCAATGTGATCCGCACACTCATATTTGTAGCCACTGGTTTGTGACCTTCTATTGACTTCAGATTCTTATTTGATCTGATCACATGGAGCCTTGATAGGTTGCGAATTGACTTTGATCATTGAGGTCTTTCTTACAAGTACTCGAAAAGATATTGTCGTATTTTTTGTATACGATGATGCTGAGCCTGACTAGATACCTATTTCTATTAAGTTCTTCTGTGGTTGATCCCCCATCCCTGTCACTGCCATAGCGCTTAGATTTTCGGTGATGGAGGATGCCACTGGTTACACCAGCAGTGCATATCCAATGGCCGTGTCCGGGTTCGAACTCCGGACATCTGACATGCGAGATGAGCGTGTTATCGGACATCTGACATGCGAGACGAGCGTGTTATCACCAGCGTTACCAGCGTTACTCCACTAGCTCAGGTGGGGCACATTTGAATTTTCACGTCTAAACAGAAGAACGTGTTCACACTTGAGCGATGAGTTAGACACGGAGTTTTTCCACTTGCGTGGACACTTGCCTTATTTCCGAAGCCGAAGGACTAACGGATGCATGGCAATTCAACAATGCTAATTTTATTACAAAGAGCACTATGCAGGAATACCCATAATCTCCTCTTCGGAGATCTGTTTACTTCGATGTGCCATCTAGACCGCTAAAATGCGCCAAACATTCATTTGCAAATCAATTTGGTTTTCACGAGCGACCCAACTGAATCTCTCGTTTGCGATATTCTTCAACTCAATGTGCTGCATACAGACCACCTCATGTTTCAGCTGGCACGATATTCGAGATATTTTAGTGTAATTTCATAAAGGAAACTACTCACAAGGTTTCTGAAAAACCTTCGATAGCCCGCGATATCTCGAATATCGTACCGACTGAAACATGAGGCGACCTGTGTGCAGCACACTCACTTGTAGAATATCATAAACGAGAGATTCAGTTGAGTCTCTCGTGATAACCAGATTGATTCGCAAGTGAGTGTATTTCCCGAAAATAGTCCAATTTTGGGTTCAAGTAGAACAAAAGGTTGACGGAAACTCGGGTACTGCGCCTATCTGGTGAGCCCCAAAAAGGGCGAAACCGGTCATGGGCTGTCGAAGATTTTTCAGCAACCTTGTGAGTAGTTTTCTTTATGAAAATAAGCACTATTTTCTATCCACCGAAAAGTTTCTATCGAATTTTCAAACCCACTACAAGTGTCTAACGTATGTATTCAAAGTACTCCGCAAGTTTGTTCGCTCTTCTTTTGGGTCAAACCAACAATTTTTGCTTTTTTTACGGAAAGAAGGGTTAATGTGAACAAATTGGCTTTCGGTGAGCACTCCACTCTTATTTTGAATAGTGTTCTAAACTTGTCTACACTGTAGCATACAAAATGCTTCCAGAGCGTTGTCCTCTCTCCTCAAGATTCTCAACAAAAAGTAAAAAGAAGTGAACAACAAAAAGTAAACTCTGGGGAGTAGACACTTATCCAAGCACGTCGCGGTTGTAGCATAGTTTGGACAAGTTGTTATAAACGAAAGCTTCAGCAAGGATTTAGTTGAGTCTCCGTCAACACCTAATCCATTTGAAAATTAGTGTACCTCACCACCTGTGTAGGATCTATTACACAAACTAGAACATAAAGTCGATTGAAACTCGGGGACTGATAGGCCCGGAGAATAGCAAAATCGGTCGTGGCCTGTTGAAAAGTTTTCAGCGGCCTTATGAGTAGCATGCTCCACCAGCAATGCGGTGTTAGCGTGGATGCATCATAGGAAACTCAAGCTATCAAGGGCAAAAGCAAGGTTGTGTTTTGACATTCATAAACCGACTGAAATGTTGACGGAACGTTGAAATTCGAGAAACGTGGTGCTGAATTTTCAGTTGAACCAGTTGAGTGTAAGTTTCCGGGAGATTTCACCTTGTTCAAGTTTCTGTGGATTGGTGCACGATACTCATTTAGTGACACGTTAAAACATCTTGAGGACTAAAAGCAACAGAATGGATCCCATCCTGCTACCGCTGGGTCTAATTGTTGCGGGGTTCTAGTACAACGCGGACTTCGTGCAAACAAATTATGATGTACAACCTTTCAACTGCAAGAAGCCAAACGTGTTTAGCTCCTAGCTAATCAGGAGGAATCTGGTGAAAATTTCAACCTAGATAAAAAAGAAAGTATCAAAAAGAAATTAAGCAAATTGGCATTTTCCCCTCCATTTTGACTTTACGGTTCCATTGATTCGGTCCGCTGAACTATTGTCTAGAAACGTTTCCACCCAGGTAAATCATTAGCACTAAACAAAGTGTTCTTGTCCAAAACGAAAACAAGTGGCTGACTCTGATTGTGGTGGACCGCGTTCCCCAGACTAGGGAGATGGTGATCGGTCCCTGGAGTGCTGACTCATTGAAGACGCGTATATGAAAGACCAGCTGACGAGCTGGTCCAGGAAGTCATCCGCTTGGATGGCGGACCTCTTTATTTAGTTTTTGGTTCTAAAGGCGAGTGCATCCAATAGTTTTTTCCCGCAGGGCCAGGGCGCTGTGAGACTGGGACGCGAAATGTATTACACACAGTCCACTCTGATTGGCCATATCACCCTGCAGTGCAGTGTCTCGAAAGCCCTTGGACGCAAATGTCATATACCCATTCAGGTAACTGGCCGCTAAGAACACACTCCCATTGGTCGGATGATTCGTATCAGTTATGTAGGTAGTAATCGTACCAAATACTTGTTCACCTGGTGCAATAACGTGGTAACTGTTAACTAGTACTGGTACGTCCAGTCCCTCACAACTTCTGGTGTTCATCCATTGGGTCCATTTCTATAGCGTTTGTTGGGAAGGGGCTGACATTCCATTATGATGTGCACAAAACAACCAACCGCAGCGAACATGGTAAGTAAAGTCAAAAAGCGTTTGCTGAACTGGAATGTTCAGTGGACTTAACTATATTATGCAACGGTTGAAAGAGGAAGAGATGTGTGAGAAACCGTCTGTGCTATGAAGGGTTAAATTACCAAGTTTATTGTCTATACAATACATTTTATTGTAACAAGCAGTGGAGTGAAAACACTTGAATTCCTTGTCCTGCAGCCGGAGTAAGGTTCTGTGTGCTCTATTACTATGCTGACTTATTTCCAGCAGCGGCTTGTGGAACAGACTCACCGCCGTCGTAATAAGGAGACTGATTATGCGCGTGTGTAGGTATACGTTCGGAATTAAGTAACACACTGATACTACTCATGGGGTCACTGAAGAATTTGGACAGTTCGCTACCGGTTTCTTCCGTCTTGGGGCTTGTCAGCTAGGCATAGTTCGCAAGTTTTCCATTCATGGATACTAATTTTTATGTATGCTGTGTTATGCGCTTCTTCGCAAACCAGGTTCACGTCGACAAGGGACCCAGCTGATACCCAGGTGATAATTTCTCCATTCATGGATACTAATTTTTATGTATGTTGTGTTATGCGCTTCTTTGCAAACCAGGTTCACGTCGACAAGGGACTCAGCTGATACCCAGGTGATAATTTATGTGCAGCACAGGTGGATGAAGCACATTATAAACAATAGATTCAAGTGAACTTAAGCAGAATCTCCAGCCAACCCTTATTCAATTCGCAAGTGAATGTTCTTCGTAGCAGTAATCTTATCCATACAGTAATAGGTCAAAAACGGCTATTATAAGTTGGTTGGTGCTGCTGAGGTTGTTGTAGCCTGATGTCCAACTGTTGTGGATTTTTTCAATTTTGGAGACAAAAGCAGTGCACAATTTGACAGCGTGTCGTGTTTGTCTAGATATTTCTATTGTTCTATTTTGATCAGTAATGTGACGGGACCGACGAAATGGGCCATTCGAAAGAGGTGTCCAATGCAGACGGGAGCTCAGTTTGGGGCGACCGACTGTTTTACTCGATCCGCAAATTTGAAAACGGCAGACCATCTGATGACTGAATTTTTGGAGAACCTTGTCGTGAACTAAAAGACACCAATCAAACGTATGGGAACTATTGAATGAAACTTTCTCGTCGCAGTCTTCATTTAAGTCAGATTTTTGCTTATTTTTGGGGGTTTGGTCAGTCAACCAGTTCACCAACTTACAGTTTCACACGTTATTTTGCTCAAACACGGTTGAAAAAGTCTCGAACACGATGATGTTCTAATGTTTGTGGGAGCTACTACGTCTTATTTTATTGGCCAAAATTGGTCGATACGACCTTGTCCGTTACGCATATCTCTCCTGTTGATTGTCATTGAACAATGCATCACTAGCTCTCCAGTCATTCGCTGAACATAAGCGACAACGCTAAAGAACACAGCTTCAAGTGGGCTAGCAGTTGTCAGCTTGTCTCGCAGGACTGGCAGTCTGAGGTAACGCAGCCATTCGGATTCATCCAGCTGACTACTCTACAAACCCAGCCCTGGCAGTTCCAGTGTTTTTGCCTGTCATTTTGCGTTGGTATATTACCTTCCTTAGGTTTTGTGGCGACTACACAGAAAACGGGTTCCACAGCTGGACGGTTTCATCACGAATATAATATGAATGCTAATAGAATGATTCTACCCAGCTGACAACCTGGGTTTGGGGTTGATTGGTTAATCCTTAGGTGTTTCAGATCGAATTGAACTATCAGTCCAAGATTTTGCATTATTCAGATAGCTGTCGACTTGGGCCGCCCGACGACTTGAACAAATGGCTTGATAGGTTACTTTAGTATCTTCAGAAAGTACGTAATAGGCATATGGGCCATTGGCTACTTCCAAGGGCACCACATTTGTTAAACGAGGGACTACTCTCATCAGCCAGTTTTGCACTCTACCGACGACATTGGGTAAAGTTTTATTCATTTTGGAAAATCACTGTGGAACAGCCCCATCCACAAGTGCTTCAGCAAACGAGGTTGACTTTCAAACCAGATTACAATGGTGGCAACTTACGTCGACTTAACTAAGCATCCCAAATTAGTCAGAAAGTCAAATGAGCCCGTCTCATACCGTTTAGACATAAACGGAAGTTTATAATATAACCTGGGCACAAACTTAGTAAATGGAGTCTGAGTGATGTACAACACACATATTTCACCATTAATTCCATTTTAAAGTGAACTGTTATATCAGAAATTCTGCAACGAAGATATGTGAGGCCAAGAAGCGAACTGACTAAATTCTCACTTGAGAAAAAACTACTGAATTGTTTTTTCTGACTATTCCAAAGCCGAGACCGGCACAAAGACTCTGCTGTTAGAAGAACGCCCGTAGCTCAGGTAACGTAGATTGTCGTTTGTTTCTTCTCTGAACTAGGCAATTTGACCGCAAGCGTTTCATCACCAGTGGAGGTGATATCATGAGTGCGTAGTTGGGTAGCGGAGTGGAGAATAACGGTCCGTCAGTGGTTGTGCGTGTGTTCTGTCCCTGACCCCCACTTTGTGACGCCTGTTGATGTGAATTAGATGAATTTCCTGTTTCTTGATTTGTTCATCCGTTAGTAGCTCCCTTCGAGTATTCCGTAAGAGATATTTGTCTTTTTCACGCAGTGGTGGGCAAATTGAGTCCAGTTAAACGCGTCGGTTGATAGAATTCGTCGTAGAATACCACCCTTCAATAAAATCTATTCCACGTCTCGTGTTACCTCATGCCAAGATTTTTGCGTTTTTAAGAGTGAATTTGTGACCTCGGTTTTCATAAATGCAGATCAGCGATAGGGAGTTATGTCTCCGTTGTTATCTCCGTCACGTTTTGTTATTTCATTCTTGTGCATAGTTCCATCCAGATTCTTTTAAACAAAATTTGTTGCAGTTGCAGCATTTGATTTACTTCGTCACACAGCTCCTCTTGGTTCTATCAATGTAGCCATTCGGTCTTGAGATCAGTTTCCTCAAGGTAGCCATGATGATTCCTCACACACGTTAGAACGCACGGATACGGACAGCCTGCGCCGTGCAACTCGGGGTTAGAGGAAATTCAGTTCCCCATAAACGTTACGCGATATGTGTGTTGTCATAAAAAGCAAACACTACAAACTAGTTTACATGACAGATTAGGATGAAAATTAGCCCTGAAAACTGGTAATTGAAAATAGTCAATTCCATCACACTACCTTAAATCTATAAGTAGCTCGTAGGAAGAATAATCTCACCAGTGAAGCCTTCAGTTGATAAGCCCTCACTCGAAAAGCCGACCAACGCGTGACCAGGTGATGTGGACTCCGTGATTGAAGAATGAGCGGCGCTGTGTCTTGTCTAAGTGAGCGTTAATCAGTCGGCTAATCAGCCGCTAATGGCCAATCGGGAGGTCGCGGATTTGGAACTTCGTGGAGTTTCGTGGTGTGCAGTGGTTTTCCGTCCTCCAGCTAGAGAACAAAGTCCCACTTGAAAATTACCAGATCTCCCATTGCCATCAATCATAGCAGAGTGAGTTTGATGGTGTTCACGAACAAACGTGGAGTTCATGCAACCATGCTGTGAAATATACCAAGACTTTTACTCTCAACCACAGTTGTTCGAATTCGACCCGCACAATCTAACGCATTTGTCAAGGTCAACTGAAATAGACTCCTGTCTTAGTTCCGATGTATAGAACAACCAAAAGTCTGCTGTCTGCCTAGGTGAACGATCTGGTTGCAGCCTTTTCTCTAGTCAACCAAGTAAATGTCGTGAAGACACTGCAACTTTTTTCAGTGGAGCTTTTACGACTTTCCAACTTACCGAAGATTAGTATCACTTTATGCTGATCTCTTCTGCCAGATTTAGAAGTACGTTAACTAGCTCAGTCGTGCAGCATCTAGCAACAGCAGTACCTTGCACCTCATACTAGATCTTGGAGTTTCATAGCGCCTTTTGCGAACATTTTCCGCGAGGTGTGAAAATTACAAAATAATTTAGGATGGTCTCTTTTGAGAAGCTTTTGAAGTTAACCAATAATTCGCACGGTAAAGGGGACCAGTCCATGCTGAAAGCTCAGAAATTCTGTTCACCTACCTCAGTGTTGTCCAGAATCCGCAGCAGTGAGCAATTAAGTAGTGACAAGGCCGATTCGAATCCATGACCATCCGACTGGTACTTCAATACTTTACCGTCTGGCCACCAACGACTGTTCAGCAGTGTGGTCCTATCTCCCTTAGACAAGTTATAGCACTATCTATCCACCACTCGTGTGGGGACGTGTTGTGACTTTTGTTTCTATGTACATAATCCACTGTTTGGTTCCGTCACTTATTCTGAACCCTGTTTCTGTACTGAGGATCGATAAATCTCTCCTACACTACTCTCTGCCAGTTTCGACTCCTCATATGAACTATCACTTCGTACCGATATGAATTTAGTTTTTCGCTAGTTACTAGTTTTGTTCGGTAAGGGGATTTCTAAAGGGATTTCACAGCATGGAAAGCTGCGCTGGTGCTACTGTTTGGCCGCGCTTAATTTGTGAGCTTGTGTTCCTCGTTATCGAGAAATTCCAGAATTCACTTCTCTCGTGAGACTTTATCTGAAGGGGAGGAACATGTCAGACTGTGGATGACCGCCCAAATAGACACAGTCTGAAATGAATATCCTCCAGGGTACTTATGTGCGACTTACGTGCTTAACACCGAGCCTTCATTCATGTTGAAGTTATTTTTTCGCTCTCAAGTGGGTGACAATGATCGTCGAATTCGTTCGTAACACTGACGACAGATTGCTTAGAAAAACAGTTGTTTGCTATTCACGAGTCCCACGTTCGTCGATTCTCCAGATAGGCATAGATGATGGCTTGTTTATTCCCACGGTACGACTGCCTTCTTACGTGATCGTTACATAATATCGCGTGATCTTCATCTTAATGGCTTATGTGCAACTGGAACCTGCCTCCTAACTGATCGATAACACTGTTTTGGAGTTCAGCTTTTTTGCACCTGAAAAGCTTGATGTGCAGCATATGGTTCTCAAGTTCAAATTCTCAAATCAGCCAAATTACTGTTTTTTTATTTTCGAGGTAAACGGTTGGACACTAGGTCTTACTGTCTAATCCCGGAGGTTTTTCTCATGAAACGCCTTGATCGGAGGACCTGTGGTGACCGTCATTGAAAGGTCGATTGGAGTAAAAATTCCAGCCCCTGTCAAATTCTTTCATGAATGGCACCTAACTACTCAGTATCACAGTTTATCGGAGACACAATGCGGAAACGTGATGTTATTCTTTGGAGCTGCACGCAACTCACTTGAAGACGCAAGCCCCGGAAGTAAGGACAGGTTTTGTGAATAGTTTTAACGACAACACAGAGCAACGAACATGGGTGTTTTCGGCTTAAGTCGCCAGTTCTGTACGAAGCTAGAGGTTAGGATAAGGATAAGAAAGACGTAAAAGATATGAATTAGTTCTGGAAGGTCAGTAAATGACCTCCCTTCGTGTACTTTAGACCCAAAAGAAAGCAATACCTTCTGCGGACTACTGACATTGGAAACTGCTGTGTAAGACAGATCCTATGAATCTATTAAAGTGTTATTATGGTTTNCGGGGTTCCGTCAACCTTATGTTCTACTTGAAACCAAATTGCACGAAATTAGCGAATATACACCCATCTGCAAACTAATTAGGTAAAACATAAGGTTGACGGAAACCCGGGGACTGCGCCTACCTGATGAGCCCCAAGAAGGGCGAAACCAGTCGTGGGCTGTAGATGGATTTTCAGCAACCTCATGAGTAGTGCATTACAAAAATATACATGTATCGCGATATTTCAAATATCGTAGCGACTGAAACATGAGGCGGCCTGGTGCAGCACATTCAGTTGCCTGAGAACATCATAAAAACGAGAGATTCAGCTGGGTTCCAGGTGAGTCTCTTGAAAGAAACAAATTAGTTTGCAGATGAGTGTATATTCGCCAATGTTATTATGGTTGTTTTTAGTGGACAGCAAAATTGAATACCAAAGAATGATTGGATAGCTGACGTCTAACAACATTCGCCTGTACGGTTCGAAGAGGTTTTTGGACAGAATTGGTCATAAAAGGATCGTGGTTTGGCAAAATATAACCCAGTTTCCAAAGACAAAGTAGACGAGTCAAAGGTCATCAGCGATGTTAACAGCAGCACTCGACAGCCATGGAACCACAGAGATTAATTAATGGTTAATAATAGAAAGCTTTATGTCCCAGCGAACAAAAATAAACTTCTTGCACGTTCTACCAGGGGAACATCTTGCGGGAATCAGATGTTATCACCCGGTTCGTTCAGTCCAAATCGTTTTTTTCTCAGCTCGCGAAACGTTCGTTGGACTGCAGTTGTCCCAACTACTATAGCTTTGTTCATATGGAATAAGGAGCATAAGGGAAAGAGAGCCATGTATTGGGGACAGTGGCCGGTGCACTGTCGACAAATGAATCAGTATGCCACCTAAGTATGCCATGAGGTGAAAATTATGCAGTGAATGCGACAGTGTTGATGCAAGAGCGTAACTGGGGTCCCTAACCACTGGCTTGTCTCATCCCACCATCTCTATCCAGGGAGACGGCAGTTACCAACCCGATAAGTTAACCGGTGAGAATTTTCATGCTTCAGTGACTATCCATGGACTGACCACCTCTCCGTCTTCATCTGATACAAAGCGGGGCGAAGAGTGCCCGATGGGATAGAGAACCTTCTGGAATATGAAGTAACGGTCTAACAAGCATAATCGGTGGAGTGTGACCAGCTGCTATATCGAGGGAGAGAGAGGTAGAGCGTAAAGTTCCCGGAGAGCTATCTGGTCTATCTGATCTCACGTTCCAACAAGGCCCGCGCAATGTTTCGGAGGTACCGATTGGTAAACACAGGCAGCTTTTAGAGGCGCTCCATACACAACAGCGACGTCTCTGATTTATAAATAGGACGGATAGGCAACTGAATTGCGCACTCTATCCCTCACTGTCAAGTTGATGTCATGTCGGTGCCTCAACCTCAGAGATTGGCAAACGTTGCTATGGCCTTCAAAGTTCGAGAAGTGATTTCTTCTTTCACCAGTCCGCCAGGGCTTTTGCAGCTGCCAAGATAGACTAACTTATCTAACACACCGATCAGTGCATCCGCCAGTATGAGGTTTGGGTTCAGTCCCACCCAGTCTTGCATTAAAAGTTCAAACTTTAAGCGTGAGAAGTGCATACTGAGCTGTCAAGCACAGTTACTTGAAATAACTTGCACTTCAAAAGGGCCTGATCCAAGAAGAGTGATATCGTCGGTATACTTAGCATTCGTGAGCGACCGCCCTAGAAGAATTTCGATCTTTGAGATAATAAAAGTAGGATTCGAATGCACTCATTTGCAAAGAAATTTGGTTTTGTGGGAGACTCACTTGGAACCCAGCTGAATCTCTCGTTTTTGATGTTTTCAACCAACCTAATGTGCCACACCCGGCCGCCTCATGTTTCAGTTGGTATGATATTTGGGATATCACGATACATGTGTGGCCGTACCGTACTACTCATAAGGTCGCTGAAAATTCTATGGATTTATGCATGTCTATACATGTATCGCGATACATCGGATATCGCACCGGCTGAAACGTGGGATGGTCTGTTGCAGCACATTCAGCTGCTTGAAAACAGCATGGACGAGAAATTTAGCTGGGTTCCCGGTAAGTCTCACGCAAAACCAAATCTGTCTGCAAATAAGTGCAGTTCTCTAATTTCGTGTAAGTTGGATTCAATTAGAATGTAAGGTTGACGGAAACTC